CAAAGAGTACTGTTTTCATTTTCATTCTTTCCAGTATGACTGACCACATCGCTCATGCAGACCAAACTCCTGGTATCAATCTGGCTTTTAAATTTTGATGGCAGACTGAAATTCCAGTTCCATACTGACTAAGAAGAACATGTATAAAAAAAAAAAAAAATAATTTTTTTTTTTTTTTTTAAACAGAGGAACTAGTACTTTCATTAAATATCACAATGCCAGGTTTTCAAAAGACATAAACACAGATATAACTGGAACAGGTAGGAGTAGGCCATGAAAGAGTCTCAATTGAACATTGACAAAATGTAGCCTGATACTTACACGGCTTCTAGTATTGTGTGATTGATAATATTCGTCGCTAATCCGGCGAAGTTCTTGACCGAATGCCTGAATGTGTGTTCCTGAAATCGGCATTTCTGGTAAAGACTGGGCTCTGTTTCTGGGGATAGGAACTAAATCCGGCAATGGCTCTTGACGATTTGTGCCCGTTGGATCTTCTCCCTCTGAGAACCGAAGTCGGCGTTGATTTGTGCCTGGGAATTAAAAAAAAAAAAAGAAAATAGACCCAAAACAAAATATAAGAAAAATCAAAGACATTTTGGCATCTTTAAAAAAACTGAAATAAAAGTCTGTAAAGATATAGATATACAGTTAATGAATCTCTATATAATAATAATAATAATAATGATAATAATAATAATAATAATAAATTGAAATCAAAATCAAAATCAAAATCTCAAAAATGTGGCATATGGGAACATCAACAATCTCCGTTGTAGTTGGAGCCCTCGGATTGGTTGGAAAAAATTCCAGTAGACTAATTGAAGGGATTCCTTGAAGCCCATGACTTAAAGAAATAAAAAAAAAAAATTGTTCTCATGAGTACAGCCCACACCTTACAAAGGGCTTTATCTATGTAAAATATTTTTTTTTATTTTTATTTTTTTTTTGCAGTGGAAAATGTTGTGATGCCATTATTTACATTATTCGGACTACTGTCCTCATCTTTGTCGCCATATTTATATATATATATAAATATGGTGACAAAGATGAGGACAATAGTCTGAATAATGTAAATAACGTACATAATACCTCATCTCAGAAATATAGACAGAGTCATGATGCCATTTCTAACCTTAGGTCTCTTGGCGAGACCCAGGAAAAAAAATGTGTACACACCAGAAATCAAAGGAAATAAAATAATAATAAGACTATAGAAGACTGGATGATGATCTGTGTCAAAGAACATGAAAGAAGTAAGAAAACTGTATTCAGTAATAAAAGAAGCCAACAAATTCAAAATGGAATTTCAAGTGGGTGAAGAAATGCAAGTAAAACGTAACACACCTACTGAAGCGACAAAAACCCTAAGAAAGAAAGTAAAATCAAATGCAATAGACAATATGCAGGAATGATGGCAAGATAAACCTCTTCACGGTCAATATTATCTCTGTACCAAGCAAGATGATGTAAACAAATCCAATACTCAACAGTGACTTATGTAGTAAAGAGTTAAAAGCTGAAACCGAGGAACCAATGCTTGCAACTAGAAATTACCAAGCATACATACTGTTGTGGTAGGATCCACCTAATTTGCATAGTGGAGTACCGACCATATAAATATGGTTGGTACCGGAAGAGAGGAGGAATCAAGAGATTCAACCAGAGACTCTGCCCGACCATGACTAATCAACACATTCTCCAGGAACGGTCTTACCAGGAATATGCAAAAGACTATATGTAAATATTGTGTACACTTTCTTGTTTCAATACATTTTGTTCTAAGTACATTTTGTGTTGCATTATTATTCCATGCATTAGTCAAGTTTCAACACATACTGAAAAATTATGTTAACCTAAAGTGCAGATTCTATGATAAATATCCAGAAACAACTGACCATTTTATATCACATTGCACGGTATTGGCACCCACTGAATATAAAACCCAGAGTGGGCCAATATCTGCATTGGAAAAATCTGCAACATTTACGGAAAGGAAACTGCAAGAAATTAATATGAACACCACCAAGACCCGGTTACGGAGATAGGACCTGTAACAATTTTAGGGGACTTTACAATACACACAGACAGAAGAATCAAAGATAATTGCCCAGATGTCGTAATCAGAGGCCATAAAAACAAACATTTTTTAATAAAGTCTTCTCATTCTATTTTACTCCCAGTAACCCCTTGCATCTTAGTGGAATTACTGCCATCTTCTGTCTTCTTGAAACCTGTTCTTTTATTGTCCTTTCTCCTCACTAAAGTCTTCTCATTCTCTTTCACTACCAGTAACCCCTCTCGTCTTAGTGGCATTATCGCCATCTTCTGTCTTCCTGAAATCTGTTCTTTTATTGTCCTTTCTCCTCACTAAAGTCTTCTCATTCTCTTTCACTACCAGTAACCCCTTGGATCTTAGTGGCATTATAGCCATCTTCTGTCTTCCTAGAACCTGTTCTTTTATTGTCCTTTCTCCTCACTAAAGGCTTCTCATTCTCTT